CCTCCGTGGGCCCGCGCGGGCCGAACGAGAGCAAGAACATGTGCAAACGCGGGCCTTCCACCAGCCGCGACTGCAGGGGGACAGGCCCGGCTTCACCCCAGGTTGGGGCGCACAGGGACACACCAGTACGACATGTTCTCCGTGGAGGCGCGCCTCCGACCCAAACAGATCATGTACCCATCCTGTAGTATATCGCTTCCCGGGCGGTGTGGCCAGAAAGCGACCGCCACGACGCATATACTAGAAGATTTCTCGGTGCGCGCGTCGACCCTGAGGGGGCGACGCACACATAGTAGAAGTATGTTGGGGTGACGCCGAAAAGTCCCGATCATTTTCCCGGTGCTTGTGTTTCATCCCCGGCAGTCTTTGAACGGCCCCCTGGCGAGTGCCACAGACCGAAGATAGCGAAACAAAACTGCCGTCGTGATTTGCTCACTACGCGATTGTGGAGGGACCAGAAAGTATCGACACCGCTGCAGTGGAGGCCAGTCCACAAAGAACCCTTCCCCAAGAAACCCAACCCTGAGACCTCAGGACGTCCATCGATTTTTGGTGTGGGAACGTCACGCTTCCCATAGCAAGACCATCGAAACCCAAGAAACCCAGGGAACCCTGGAGGCAAGCAGGGTGCTTCTTGGCATGGGTCTCCACTATACTCCCCAGACCTTCCAAGGGTGCGTTCTGACCCGGATTTCGAGGCGAGCCCAGCCGCGGTGAAAACGAAGGAAGGGTCGCGGTATCGGCACTTTTTCCTCCTCTGACGTCGATCGCCCGTCGCCCGCTGTTCCCAGACCCCCGACGTCATGATTGTTTTACGACGTGACCCCCACAAGGTCTGGACCCCATCCCCGAGACCAGCGTCTCGTCCTGGTTCGTCTTTCGGCGGTCCCCGGGCCCGGTAAGGCCCTTCAGAGGACGAAACGTTTGATGGAACGCACAGAGACATACTAATACTAGATGTCCTCCTCGGAGGCGCGCGTCCGACCCGAACATATAGTATACCCATCGTGTAGTATATCGTTTCCCGGGCGGTGTGGCCAGAAAGCGCCCGCCGAGACGCATATACTAAAAGATTTTCGGTGCGCGCGTCGACCCTGAGGGGGCGACGCACATATAGTATAAGTCTGTTAGGATGACGCCGATTTGACGGTCCGAGAGCCCGGCAAGGCCTGTCAGAGGCCGAATTGAAGAAGGACATCCGTCTTGAACTTCCCAGGACGTTGGATGCCTGGGCCTGTTCGCCGTCGGCCGTCGGCCCGGCGGCCGTCGATCGCCCTGGAAGAATAGCACAAGCCCAACACACGAGCCTGCGGGAACTCCGCGCGGAATTCCTTGCATCGGCGCTGGACCCCCCTCCCTAGCGCGCGCGCGGAGCGCGCCAGGGGCGGCGGCGCTGGAGGCGCCGCCAGGGGAGCCCAGCACAGAACCGCGAGAAGTCGGCGCGGAGCTCCGAAAATCCATGCTTACGCAGGTTTCTCCACATCCATCGTCGGCCGGCGGCTCGCAAAAAGACATCGTGCTGTGGCAGCTCCCGCGGGTCTCCCATGAGATCCTGCTGGCCCTTGCGAACTGACAGCTGCTGGCGCTGACCGACGACACAGTCGGGGAGTTGACCTGAGGAACCCTAGATAAGGAACGAGGCCCCTTTGTCCCATAAGTTGAACTTCGATTTCACGTGGAAAAACCTTAGGAAACCCCAGGGCAAACTGCAAAGCTATCAGGGAACACCGAGCCCCTCCCCAACGGAAAGGGTTCCTTCTTCAGCGCCCCAGGTGTAACCGACGCTTGCCGACGCTGAATCGACGCCAATCGACGCGGCGTCGGCGCCTCCGCAGCGATTGCCACACGCGGGCGCACGCTGCAGGCACCCCAGGGACAGCACTTCGAGGGGGCACGCAGGGCTTCCAGGAGCTGGAGGCGGCCGGGGGCCCGAGCTGCATGGGCCGCCACGGAAATTTTCGTCAAGAGCAGATCCGTCAAAGATCGGTCCCCGGACCCCTCCCTGGCTCTCAGAGCCAGGGAGGAGTGCCCGGAGCGCACCTGGGGGGGGGAGCGTTACCTCACAGGGGGGGGGGGGGGGGGGGGGCCATGACGCCCGTCATGCCCCAGGCAATGAAGAAACGGGCTCCTGCCTGCTGTAATTTTCCACCCCCGATCCATTTCTGACCGTCCCGGGGCCTGGCCCCGAGGCCCGGCATCGGCCGCAAACGGCCGAAGGAGGCAAATCACCTCCTCGAGCCCAGGACCTCGAACCTCTTCCCCCCTCCTTCCTGCTGGCCGGAACAACGCAGACCCCCAGCCCGCTCCAAGCCATGAGCTGCGAACGGGGAAACCAACAGGTACCGATACCGCTACTCCTCAGACCTCTCTAGGCGGATCCAGCCGTGGCGACGGGGGCCTCCCAGGAGGCCCCCCCAAAAAAAGAGAACGGCGCCAAGGGTAGCGGTAGCGGTGCCTTTCCCGAACCCCCGACGTCATGATTTGTTCACAACTTCGACCC